CAGGCGCCGCTGTCTGCAGTCTGCCAGTCTCTCAGAGGGCGTGCACTCCCTGACGTCAGTGTCTCCACAGTGACTCGCATTTATTGTTGTCTTTGGTGTAAATGGAATGCTAGAGGTTCCTGATTGAATCCCTTCTGTGTGTAAAGGTATTCTCAGGGCGAGGTGATCGCTGGCTTGGCCAATGGGACGCTTGCATTCTTCACCCACAATTCAGGTGTGTTTGTGCTTTCATCTGCCTGGGTGTGTTATTTAGATGTAAATTGTAATGGCTTGTATTGACCATATTTATAGGCATCTGGAATCTTCAGTCTCAAGAGGTGCTTTCTCTCGGCACACCACCTTTGCAGCCCATTCGCTGTTGCCTGGCAAAGGAGGGGTGTCTCTGGGTGGGATACTGGAATAAAGTTTACATGATCAGTACAAAAAATCGGAAAGTAGAGGTTGGTCAGGGATGGAAATGGTGTCGTTCATTGTTCATCTTGTGCTTCTCAACCCTCATCCTGACTCTTTCACTTTCACTTGTTCTGAATGTCCATTTAGAAATCGTTCACAGTTTCTGAGCGATGTGAGCAGCAGGTGCGTTTTCTGTGCGCAGCAGGAAGTGGGGTTTGGGCTTCCTGCCGTTTGGATCCCATACTCAGGCTTTTCGATTGGACAACTGGCCGTCCACTACAGGAAGTAGATTTATCATCTATAGTGACTAAAGCTTTAGGTATTTGAATTGTATTCATTCATTGATTGGGATATTTTATGGAATTTTACATGCATGGGTGTCACGTTTTTTAGATATACTGTACCCTACCATTAAAACGTTTGAGGTCATCGTTTAAGGGTCTTTTCTTCTTTCTTTTTTTTACCCCTCTCCATTTGACAGGTTCTGCGTTCCTGTCTCTGTCTCCTCTTCAGATCACAGCCTTGTCTGTGGTCAGCGGGCGGCTGTGGGTGGGCACAGGAAGTGGTGCAATCTTCTCAGCTCCCCTGTCTCTCAGTAAGTGTTTTTCACACTAAAATAAACTTTTCTTGAGTGGTTTTGAATTATAGCACTTCTGCATTGTTTGAATTTTCATTGTTTTTTGTAGGTTCGGAGTCTTGCTCTATACCATATTGCTCTCTTGCATCAGCTCAGCTCTGTTATCATGGACACAGACAAGCAGTTAAATTCATTATTTCTGCTCCAGGTTCGAAACTTGTTAACTTTTAGTAAAGCTGTGTGTCCACCAAAACCTGAGGCTTGCCTATTTTTCAAAATGCTTTCAATGGGAGCGTTGTGTTTCTTAAAGCTACACTGTGTAACTCTTTTAGTTTATTCTTGGCTAAAAACACTTAGTTCTTACAAAAATATATGTGCTCATTAATGTATATTTACTTCGTTCAAGTAATAAAGTATTCTCGTGAGTGTATAATATGCCATTGAAAATACATACGGGTAAGGGTTTCTAATGTCGGTCGCCATGTTGCCCCTCCATCTTGAAAGTACATTAGCCAAAGAGGGACATACCCGTTAATTCAAGCTTCGCCTTTCTCGTTTACGTTTGAGTTAACACTCATGGACGAGGTCGAACTGGAAGCCATGTTAATCTTGGACTACATTGGCCACCGTAGGAGTTAAAACCAAATTGGAATTGAGAGGAACAGAAACTAATATTCACTGGATGGTCATATACCTTTTCACTGCTAGATGGGGGTAAAAATCACACAGTGTAGCTTTAAAACAGCAGGCTTTTTTACCGGTCGCCTAGAGTTGAAGAATGTCCAACTTTGGGTAAAACGCAGCACTCATTGCTGTCACTTTTTATCCAGCCATCCAATCTCAGTAAAGAAGGGGCGGGACTAATGCAACACTGACCAACCGTCACATTCTGCTTGTACAACGGTAATAACTGACAACAACAAGCACATTTCTTCATCCAAAACTAGTGGCAGAGCAAGTGCGTTATATTCAGACTTTTTTTTTAAAATTCAGAAACAAACTTCCAGTATTTGCAAAATCAGAAACTAGTAGCAGTTTATGGATATTCCGTATCCACACATAGTCTCGACTGAATAAAACGTGCCGATGAAGTGCCCTCAAGCGTCTGCAGAGCGCTGGTGTTTTCAACGGGCTAAAAACGCTTTGTTGGACACATGGCCTTGCTCTGCCACTAGTTTTGGATGATTGTTGTCATTTATTATCGTTGTAGAAGCAGAATGTGACGGTTGGCCTGGATTTGTCCCGCCCCTTCCTCACTATGATTGGACAGCTGGAAAAAGTGACAGTGATGAGTGCTGCGTTTTACCCATAGTTGAACATTACCAACTCTCAGCGACTGGTAAAAATCAAGTGGCAATCTTCCAGTCTCTAGCCGGCCGCTAGGGAAAGGCTGGAAAAGAGAGTCAATCCCATATACACCCTATGTTAATATGCCCAACTCTACAGCAGAAAAAAAAAACATGTTTACAGCCTGGTACAAAAAGTGGTTTTGGTCTATAAAGCTAATTTTGCCCTTCATGAAAACTGTGAGGGGGTGGATTTAAAAAAAAAAAATGTATTACTCATCGGTTTAAATTATATTTAGCCTTAAAGTTTTGTGGCCTAGTGGCGTAGGCAGAAATTGTATTTTGGGTGGGCCAGTGAAAATGTGAGTGGCCTATAGTTTTTCCTAGAAAAAAATGACTTCAATGATAATTAAGCTTAGAAAGTAGAATAATTTATAGACAAACTGCAAAAACAGTTAACGTTACACCTTTATATTCGGCAAATTATCATGTTCAACCAACAGAGCTATATAAAGGCTGGACAAACCAGTACACAATAACTTGTCTATTTTATTCTGGCTAGTCAGCAGTGCAAAGACAGTTCACCCGAAAATAAAGTAAGCTAAAATAATAATAATATCACAGTTAGATCGGCGGGTAAACCGTCAGGCTGAACGGGAGAGAGGGAGTAAGAAGCGGCCACCGCCAGCACCTGACTAGACTTCTTGTGGGTTAATGAGACTGAAGAACTGGGCTGGGTGGCCTCGGTAGATGAAGGCCGTAGCGTGTCTTCTTCCTCAACTCTTTCTTGTTTCAAATAGCACATGGAGGAAAGTTGTTTAGCCATGATTGTGGCGCCAGGGCCGGTGAGAGTTTTCCTGTCGGAACTCATAGCAACCAATAACGTTCCGGAGGGAGGCTTTCTACAACTTGCTTCAACAGTTACATTTTTTTCGGGAAACAAATCAAACACACACAGAGCCGTAAACAATAAATCAGGTATATATTAATATATTTTCTTAAATACATTTGAATAATAAAAAATAAACAAAAAAAGTATTTTTATCAAACTTGTGCTGCCCTGGCCCAATACTGGCTACGCCCCTGGCGTTGCCACTTGAGTGACAGGTGGATTGGCGCTGCTGTCACTACTAGCCGTTTGTCTGCTGTCTTGGCTAATCCCGCCTCTTTGCCCATTTTTGCTTATCTGGTGATTAGTCGGCTCTGCCCACTTTGGGCTTCAATAAATGCTCTTCAGAAACCTACGGGTGTCTATATTTTCTTTTACAGTCTATGGTAAAAACCACAGAGCCTCGTCACGCTGCTGCCGTTTTAAAAACGTGGCACTCCCATTGAAAACAACTGGAAAAATACGGTAGCCACTGGGGAAAAATGCTTTGATGAACATGTATGTCTAAGAGTAGATGGAAGACCAGTGTTGACACCCGTTTTGGGTGTAATATTTACAATTGCATATTTTTAACCATTTTGTTTCTTTCTGGCCTTTTTTAATCAATGCAGGCTGCCGTAGTTCCTCCATGTCAGCAGATGGCGCTGCTACTACCTCTCTGCTCATTCTCAGTGGCGGGGAAGGATACATCAACTTCCGAATTGGTGTGGCACAATTATTATATCACAGATTTATGTATTTATTTTATTCTTCCATTGAGAATGTTTTATAAAGATGAGAAGTGTATAATTAAATATTTTTCCCTCTTTAGGAGATGATGGAAGTGATGGGGCCAGTGAGAGTGTCCTACAGAGATCAGAGCGAAGTCACATGATTATTTGGCAGAGCCCCACCCCCTCCGTCCCAAGCCCCGCCCTCTGAAAGCACATCAGCTGTTCACTCAAACTGAGTTCTGTCAATGTGATCAAGCGCACTACATAGTACAATGCATTGCTGTTCTTCTTCTATAGACGCTCCCAAAGTGAAGCCTGAAGTCAAAGTAAAGCAGTAACATAAAGCATTTTCTAAGAAATGTTATAATGTAACACTCAATCTGCACATTTATTTGACTTGTTTTGGGGTGAACGGACTTTAAATAGGCATTGTCTTTTTTTAGGTTCCATAACAGCTCAACTGGCTTCTCTCCAGTGTGCCTTATTTTGTGGTTTCAATTTCTGCCCTGTATTTGGCCAGTGTTTTTTTTTTTTTTTTTTTCACACAATCATCCTAAAATATTGGAACAAGTGGTTGTGACTGTAATGCTAGGCCAGGAATTATTTATTTTTTTTTTTTTTTTTTTTTTTTAATTTCAAATCAAGGGGAGTGATGCATTTAAACCAATATGCTGTTGGTCAGGACATGCAGTGCTCTTAAAAATACTCAGTGTTGGTTGCTTGTCATGTGCAGTTTGCACACACACACACACACACACAAAAGCAATGACAAAAAGCTGACCCAGATTCACACACTACCTACATGTTGACTGTCCTTGTCTTTTTTCCTTTTTTTAAACAAATTAGGTTTGGTGTTGAGGGTGAGGTTTTATTTTTAATTTTATTATTATTGGTGATTGTTTTCTAAGTTATTTGTTGTGAAATGAATGGAGGCTTCTGTATGGCTATTTTTGCAGTATTTTTTGAATGAGGAAACATGCGGCTCTGCTTATTTAATGAGAGCAAGAGAAAGACTAAATGTTCAGTTAACTGGAAAACGTTTCATATTGTAATGTGGAATTTTGTAAATAAATAAATGTTCTCTATAGTTAAAGTCTGAAAAGTGTTTCTGTATTGCTAAAATAAAGCACCAAAGCTGCATGTAGAATTTTAATGTATTTAATTTTTATCAGTGTTTTGAATTTGATCAAATTTCATGTTTTGTTCACAAGAAGATGTATTAAAAGTTTTACAGCAAAAAAAAAAGAAATACAGTTGAAACAGAAAAACAGTAGAAACCGTTTTCAATGTCCTAAATAGTATACAAAAATATAAACCTTTCCATCATTTTTTTCTACATTGAGAGTTGCACTACAGCACAGGTGCTATAAAATACTGTAATACAGTAGTAGTAATTGTAATAGTAAACACCACATTGTAACAAATCCGTAAACCTTCAGATTATTTTCCTCATCTTCCAACTGAGATTTTAGCCTAAATGTTGGTATCCCAGCCCTGTGTATGTGCTCTCTGCCATGCCCAGGGGTCAGAGAGGTCAGGATGTGTGGTGGATGCGGTGGGGTCTCCGTATGCGGCGACTAAGGCTGCGAGCGAACCGGTCCACAGCAGTGTGTTTGTCTGTCAGCTCCTTCTCTGATATTAAACCATCAATATTCCCACTGTACCACATGACCCAAGCCCCCATAGACATCAACACCAGCAGAGCTCCAGAATACACCAACAGATCACCAAAGTCACGACCACCAATTTCAAGCGGGACGAAGATGCCGATCAAGAGGATAGAAACACCGAAGAGATCCATGACGACTGCGAACACCAAGAGAAACTTACAGTGGGTCAGTCCAACGTGGTCAGTACTAGACATGGTGACTGTCCCTCTGACATGTAGCCTATATCAGAAATGGAAAGAAAAAATATGTAAAAATCAGCATGACATCGACTATTAAAGAATAATCTTAAAAAAAAATCACTATTCTAGAAGGAACACATTTAACATGGCTAGGTTTTAACATGTAAAAAAATATATATATATATATTCCAAGTAGGCTTATGCACTCTTTATCTGAAAGAACTCAAATCAACATCTAAAGTAAAATAGCTAAAGCACTATAGATTTTTTTTTCTTCTTTTTTAAGCTCTTGGTGACACGTTAATTAGCGTTTGTTAGTTAGTTAATTAAAACACAGCTGTTGTTTGTTCACATCGCATTAACGAACGCTAATACATACAACCTTTGATTTTAACAATGTATTAGTAGGCTAACGTTACGTGTTGAAATTAATACCAACTAAAGATCGATATAAGTAGCCTATTGTCCATTCTTAGTTCATGTTAAGGTAGTTAACTAACCTGATTGTGTGTTAACGATATCTTTTATGTGAGAAGAATTAAATGGGGTGGAAAACAGATCGAGTTAAACTGTTCAACCAATAACCGACCAAGCTTTCCAAAAAATAAGCAGTTACTAACGATTATCATTCTACTTACCTTTTTCGCGGAAATTATATTCGTTAGCAATACTGACAAGGAAATCATATTTAGATGATAAACATTTTAGTGGTTTGTGTTTTTCCTGGTTTCTTCACCTGTCCCCCAAATAACTTCGACGTCACGCACAGGTGATGTCACATGACACGCTTTAACAGCTGCCATTTTATAGACTACGCGTTTCTTTATTCATTTAATGCTTATTTTAGCGTACGAAAATATTTGTGTGTGTGTGTGTGTGTGTGTGTGTGTGTGTGTGTGTGTGTGTGTGTGTGTGTGTGTGTGTGTGTGTGTGTGTGTGTGTGTGTGTGTGTGTGTGTGTGTGTGTGTGTGTGTGTGTGTGTGTGTGTGTGTGTGTGTGTGGGTGTGTGTGGGTGTGTTCGTTCGTTTGTTTGTTCCTGATCTGTTCCCAATAGTGGTGTGACGCTGGATGTTGTACCTGGTTTCATTTCAGTGCAACACCATTCATACCGATTTAGTAATTTTCTGAAAGCTGGAACAATTTCCTTCAAAACTAAACCAAAACCACTTAGGCTACGTGGAAGCATAACCGAGAAAAGATAAGTGCACTTTCACTCATTCAATGTGAATCTCAAGTTTTACTTTCAGAATTAGACTGAACACACATACAGTATTAAAAATGTGCCCTGTAAAGCTTGACACAGGCTATGAAATAAAGCAGAAGCATTTTTCTAAATGATATATTAAATAGTTTGCGTATGTGTTTCATAATTTACATACAACGATCCATAGGCTATATCATGATAGTGAGAACTTCAAAAAACAAAAACAAAAAAAAAACCATCCGTTTAATTCAGAGGCCCAAACATACAAAAATATGATATGGAGTATGTTGAAATTATGATAACTTGTAAATAATGTATATCAGTTGTCACTCGCTCCCAGATGCACAAATAAACATTCTATCTGTTGTATCATTTGATACATACATTTCTACATTTTTATATATATATATATATATATAATGTAGGGATAATCAAGCAAACCTAATTCAGTCTAAATGTTCTAAACAATATATGAAACGTATGAGAAATAAATAAATAAACAAATATATTTATTTCAGCACTTTTGTCAGAGGTAAGTTTATTGTTTCATGCCAGACAGTAGTTAGAGGTAGACCTGTATACTTCAGCAATAAGGCCCCGTTCACACTGCAAGTCTTAATGCTCATTCAGATTTTTTGCTCAGATCCGATTTTTGTTTTTGGCTGTTCACATTACCTTTTAAAATGTGACCTATATATGATTCCAATGTGAACTGTTTGCATGTTTCAAACTAACCCACATGCGCAAAAGAACAACAATCACATACGCACTTTACGCAGCACACTGTTGCACTAATGTTCGTGTGGTTATGGAGGAAGTAAGCATTTACGCTTTTATTTCTAAATGTCTATGTAATGGAAGCTGTAAAGTTAATGAGCAGGTGATGATGAGCAGAAGAATGAAGAGAAAGAAAGCAAAATTGGCTATTTATTAATTAGCCCATATATTAATTAGGACTAACACCACACTCTCCCTCCATTGACTCGCTCCATCACTGTTCTCCTATGTATTCAAGTTTTTAATGTTACTGTCTGTGTCTGTTGTGTCTAGTGCTTATACTCGCCGGTGCATAATTGTGTCAAATATCAGATGCAGATGTCAGAGTCGCATTAAATCCGCCTTGGTTGTTCACACTGTGGACACATTGAAAAAAAATCAGATCTGTATCTGATTCAGGACTACATATGAATGTGGTCTGATTTAAAAAGATCAGATCTGGGCTAGATTTGAGTGTTCACACTATCTCTGAAGAAGTCTGACCTGGTCTCTTGACCCCAAAAAAGTCAGATTTGGGCCACTTTTGTCTGCAGTGTGAATGTCATTCTCACAATGTCTGGATTTTAGTCCTATTCAAGGACACACAATCCCATGAAATCCTGGAGAACCCATCTAATAACCGCATGCGGTGTCCTGGCTTACATCCACAAACTGTGTTATTTTGGTGTGTGCATGGTGAAATCACCACTGCATGACCTGTCAGAGAACCAATCAAAGAAAAAGAGAAAAAAAAATGAGTGAAGATCTAAAGAAAACCAACAAAGCAAGATCTGTAATTTTAAGTCAAGTCATGAAAGAAAACTGTTAAACACTTACGCTTGCTGCATTTCTGGCATCTGAAGCAGTTTGGGAAATAGTTCATGTTGTCTTGGTACGTCCCGTCTGAACATTTCTCACATTCAGATTGCACGCCACTAGAGCATTCCTTTATCAACTTATAGCCTGAAGACAAATACATGACAGATGAAGAGACTGAGTCTATATACGTCTCTGAAAACTTTATGTTTGATTGTATTGGTTCAACATTAGAGACACCGTAGCCTACCTGGAGCGCATTTGTCACAGCAGAGCCCGTCACTCCAGTATTCATTTTTAGAACAATCCCTTTTACTGCTGACACTGCGCTGCCCCGTCACAACGCCCACGATCTGTGGGAAAGGTTTATTTTTCAGGAAACTCAACTTTCGGTCTGATGTTGCTTAACTGAATGATGTCATCACATTGACCTTTAAATATTTATAATGACTGCACATATTTGTAAAATGCGTTTCCATTGACTCACCAGTAATATCAATATACATGGCAGGAGTTTCCTCATGTTGTCCTTGGATGTGCTATATGGTTGTTCAGTCATTCATTAATAATAATAATAGGCCAGCCAAATAATACTAATCATTCTGTCTTCAGATTTCTGGGAAAAGAAAAATACATTTAATATTACATAGCCTATTTCAGGAGATTCTGAAAGAATAAAGACATGTGAAATTATATATTATATTAGATATGTAATTTTATAATTATAATAATTATAATGATATAATGATATATATATATATATGATATATATATATATAATTATTATATACAAAATATATGATTCAGATAACATAAATGTTTAGTACCTGCCACAACATATGTTAAATATAAATAGGCTACATCTTTCATTATGATCTTTAAAGTTATTTGTATTTATCAAGTTAAATGTTACATTTTGTTTGAGATATTGAATATAATTAGCTATGTCTTAATATAATATTAATATAATTGTAAAACAGAGAGAAGAGCATGCTAACTTTACCTCTGTTCCACAGGATCTTGTAGAGTTGCTCCTTCAAGAATGAAGGAAGGAATTCCCTCTTATAAGACTAGTGAGATTAGTCATCATTTCTACGTAACCACAACTATACAATCACTGCGGCTACAGTGATAATAAAACAGGTCCAGTCAGATTTAGTCATCACTGTCAAGAAACTGAATAAAAAAAAACTTTCCTTGCTGGGTTGTTTCAATCCAAATTCGGGTAAAATATGGACAAACCCAAATGTTTGGTTAAAACTGCAATTAAAAAATGTACAGTTGAAAGTGAAAGTTGAAGTTGGGTTCAAATTTGAAATTACATTTTTAACCAATATTTGGGTTTGTCCACACTGTAAAAAATATATTTTCACGATTTGTAATCACAACATTTTTTTCTTTTGTCAAATCAACTTAAAAAAAAATTATGTAGTTCAGATAACATAATATTTTGATTTTCTGATGCTTAAATCAATTAACTCAATTTTTCCAGTTCAATGAACTTAAAATTTTAAGGCAACCAGGTTACTTCATTTTTTAAGTTAAACCAACAATATTTTTTTCCAGTGCATATTTTACCCAAATTTGGGTTCAAACAACCCAGCATTGTTAAAAAGAAGAATTGACGTGTCTAAGCTGTAATAATTCAAACATAAGTGAATCACACCTTATTTGACAAATTGTTTAAGGAAAACAGTCATGAGGCATTCAAAAATATATATTTGAAACATTGCGAAATATAAAGAAAAATATTGCTTTTAAACATTGGTTCCACTAACCTTGTAAACTTAAAGATTTGTGGTCATGATATGTGGCTTATATATTAAATATCAATCAAATATCAATTAAAATTATTAACAGTGTAAAAGTAAGTTATTCATTTTGACCCCAAATATGGTAAGGCATTATAACTGAAGTATTCCCAAAAATCCCATATTTTCATTTTTCTTACATTTCAAGCCAAATGGAATGTACAGAATAAGCCATAATGTGACTTATTCCAGTAAACCATTGATCATAAAGGGAAGTTAATCTTCCAGTAGTGATACCACAAGTGCCAGTGATACCAGTTACACAAGTTTCCTTTTTAGAAATGCTGACTAAAGCCAGATATTTGGGTATTGTGGATCACTGGTCTCATAATTCTAATGAAAATTTTAAAATTCATAATTATCTTGCCATCATTGTATGAATGATAGCTATTGTATGTCGAGGTCTTTGCTGTGAATGAACACAATTCATGTCAGTTAAAACCTGCCTTAGCCCATTTGACTCTGAATGTATGTTTTAGTTCATGTTTTATCACTTGTTTAGGCTACTCAGCTAAAATAAAAATAAAAATATTTGAATTTTGGTTCAGAGGACAGAGTTAATAAGAAAAAAATAAATTATATATATATATATATATATATATATATATATATATATATACATACTGTACATATATGTATATATATATATATATATATATTATATATATATACGCTATCAAATAATGACTAAATTAAATCTGTGAATTATAATGAGAGAATGCATTATCTGAACCATTTTTTGTGTGTGATGTAAAAACATCCTAAAAAATATGCTTTTTTATTTTGTTTGTGAAAGCATGTCTTGAATGTTAACATCTGACATAGAATGTTTTGGATAGGCTAGTATTAAACATGTAGTAGCCTACGTGTGCATTCCGGGTACATTCAGGATGGAAGCACCCTGAAAAAATCCCATAACCGTTTTCCACGAATTTGTGATGACGTTCGTGCGCGATCAACTAATTCCTTTTGTAATTTCAAACCAGATTTTTTAATCAGTTAAATAGACCCATAGATATCTATGAATTGACCTACTATTACAACTGCGCATTTTGTGACATTAAAAAAGCACCTTATCAAGGCTTTTATTTTGAACGTGACGATTTTAAGGTGCCATAAAAGTGACTTCCTTCCCGTTGATTTTACTGCTGCCACTGAGGGTACTTGTTATTGGTCTCAAGCTAGTTTTAACTAGTGGCGTGCACAGACATGTGCAGGGGCGGAGGGACCAAAAAGGGCACAAAATTAAATTGGAAATTAATTTAACAGTAGGCCTAAGTTACCTGCTAGGGATGGGAAAATGAAGCCTCATGAATCTGCTTTCCCATTGCTTTCCCCTGACTGTTCCGGGAAAAATATTCAAAGCTTTGCGAGTGTGCCGCGCCATCTGGTGCTTGGGTTTTTACAAAACATAAAAGAATAAGTAATGATCACTCGTAAGGTTAAGTAGAAACAAAATCTGGGTTTACAGTGCTCTTGTCTCGTTTGGTTTTAAGTTTGTATTGCAGTTTTATATCTGTGTCTCTTTTATTCCTTGTAAAGCACTATGGTCAACTTCGGTTGTGTTTTAACTGTGCTCTAAATAAATAAATGATTGATTAATTGATCTTTACAAGCAGTTTACACATGGTTTCATATAAAAGCTGTTTTACATAAAAGACTGTTCTATAAAGTCTTTACAAGCAGTTTACACATGGTTATTATAGAATAAATTGCATCATTTCACACAACAATATATATATATATATATATATATATATATATATATATATATATATATATATATATATATATATATATAAATAATGTAGGGATAATCAAGCAAACCTAATTCAGTCTACATTTTATAAACAATATATGAAACTTATATGAAAACTTATATGAAATAAATTTATTTAATTCAGCACTTTTGTTAGAGGTAAGTTTATTGCTTCATGGCAGACAGTAGTTAGAGGTAGACCTGTATACTTCAGCAATAACATTCTCACAATGTCTGGATTTTAATCCTATTCAAGGACACACAATCCCATGAAATCCTGGAGAACCCATCTATAACCGCATGCGGTGTCCTGGCTTACATCCACAAACTGTGTTATTTTGGTGTGTGCATGGTGAAATCACCACTGCATGACCTGTCAGAAAACCAATCAAAGAAAAAGAGGAGAGAAAAAAATGAGTGAAGATCTAAAGAAAACCAACACAGCAAGATCTGTAATTTTAAGTCAAGTCATGAAAGAAAACTGTTAAACACTTACGCTTGCTGCATTTCTGGCATCTGAAGCAGTTTGGGAAATAGTTCATGTTGTCTTACGTCCCGTCTGAACATTTCTCACATTCAGATTGCACGCCACTAGAGCATTCCTTTATCAACTTATAGCCTGAAGACAAATACATGACAGATGAAGAGACTGAAAACTTTATGTTTGATTGTATTGGTTCAACATTAGAGACACCATACCTGGAGCGCATTTGTCACAGCAGAGCCCGTCACTCCAGTATTCATTTTTAGAACAATCCCTTTTACTGCTGACACTGCGCTGCCCCGTCACAACGTCCACGATCTGTGGGAAAGGTTTATTTTTCAGGAAACTCAACTTTCGGTCTGATGTTGCTTAACTGAATGATGTCATCACATTGACCTTTAAATATTTATAATGACTGCACATATTTGTAAAATGCGTTTCCAGTGACTCACCAGTATCAATATACACTCACCGGCCACTTTATTAGGTACCCCATGCCAGTAACGGGTTGGACCACCTTTTGCCTTCAGAACTGCCTCAATTCTTCGTGGCATAGATTCAACAAGGTGCTGGAAGCATTCCTCAGGGAGTTTGGTCCATATTGACATGATGGCATCACACAGTTGCCGCAGATTTGTCGGCTGCACATCCATGATGCGAATCTCCCGTTCCACCACATCCCAAAGATGCTCTATTGGATTGAGATCTGGTGACTGTGGAGGCCATTTGAGTACAGCGAACTCATTGTCATGTTCAAGAAACCAGTCTGAGATGATTCCAGCTTTATGACATGGCGCATTATCCTGCTGAAAGTAGCCATCAGAAGTTGGGTACATTCAGTGGTGGAGGAAGTACTGAATCTCAGTACTTAAGTAAAAGTACAAATACCCAGATAAATATTTACTTTAGTAAAAGTAGAAGTAACACAATGACAACCATACTTAAGTAAAAAGTAAAAAGTACTTTATTTTAAATGTACTTTAAGTATTAAAAGTAAAAGTACTTGCATAACAATTTATTATCTTAATGTCTATTTTCTAATGATTAATAAAACATTTAATTCTAACTCATTCAACCTAATAGCCTACTCCTATAATGATGTTCAATAATGATGGAAAAAAACGTCACCATTTCTGAAACAAGCTTGCAATTAGGCAATATCATGCTTATCCTTACTATATGTTAATATGTTTGGCAGTAAACGCGATTCATTTATGGTGTAATTCTGAACCTCTTGGCTTGCCATAATCCTAACCAAACCAAACATATATTACACACGGTGTGTTTCCTATGCACGTAAAAACAAATTTTCGCGTATGAGTTGCACGATAAACACACTGCGTGTGAGACGCATTTAGTGTGACCGGCCGTGCTGTTGATATACTGCCGGGTTGATATACTGTATCTATGGCAACCAAACGTCACTGGTGTAAGGGTTAGACCACTAGGGGGCGCCATCTGCCCAAATATATCTGCGTCTCATTTCACGTTAAAGGGTGCCATGTGCGTTGGATATTTACGCTTTTGCAAAAGCGTCCGATATGGCGCTTTAGGATGAGAACGGGCTCGACGGTCAGATTACGTTTTGGCAGGGGAAAAACTGATCAGAAAATGTAACGAAAATGTAACAGAAGTTGTAGAAATGTAGTGGAGTAGAAAGTATAATAATTGCTGCAAAATGTAACGAAGTAAAAGTAAAAAGTAGGCACTATTTATTGTACTTAAGTAAAGTAAAGATACGTGAAAAATGTACTTAAGTAAAGTAACGAAGTATTTGTACTTCGTTACATTCCACCACTGGGTACATTGTGGTCATAAAGGGATGGACATGGTCAGCAACAATACTCAGGTAGGCTGTGGCGTTGCAACGATGCTCAATTGGTACCAAGGGGCCCAAAGAGTGCCAAGAAAATATTCCCCACACCATGACACCACACCACCAGCCTGAACCGTTGATACAAGGCAGGATGGATCCATGCTTTCATGTTGTAGACGCCAAATTCTGACCCTACCATCCGAATGTCACAGCAGAAAATCGAGACTCATCAGACCAGGCAACGTTTTTCCAATCTTCTTTTGTCCAATTTCGATGAGCTTGTGCAAATTGTAGCCTCAGTTTCCTGTTCTTAGCTGAAAGGAGTGGCACCCGGTGTGGTCTTCTGCTGCTGTAGCCCATCTGCCTCAAAATTCGACGTACTGTGCGTTCAGAGATGCTCTTCTGCCCACCTTGGTTGTAACGGGTGGTTATTTGAGTCACTGTTGCCCTTCTATCAGCTCGAACCAGTCTGGCCATTCTCCTCTGACCTCTGGCATCAACAAGGCATTTCCGCCCACAGAACTGCCGCTCACTGGATGTTTTTTCTTTTTCGGACCATTCTCTGTAAACCCTAGAGATGGTTGTGCGTGAAAATCCCAGTAGATTAGCAGTTTCTGAAATACTCAGACCAGCCCTTCTGGCACCAACAATCATGCCACGTTCAAAGTCACTCAAATCACCTTTCTTCCCTATACTGATGCTCGGTTTGAACTGCAGGAGATTGTCTTGACCATGTCTACATGCCTAAATGCACTGAGTTGCCGCCATGTGATTGGCTGCTTAGAAATTAAGTGTTAACGAGCAGTTGGACAGGTGTACCTAATAAAGTGGCCGGTGAGTGTACATGGCAGGAGTTTCCTCATATTGTCCTTGGATGTGCTAGCCTATATGGTTGTTCAGTCATTTAAAGAATAATAATAATAATAATAGGCCAAATGATAATAATAATCATTCTGTCTTTCGATTTCTGGAAAAAGAAGAATAGATTTAATATTACATATTTCAGGAGATAAGATGACTGCAATTCTGAAAGAATAAAGACCTGTGAAATTATATATTTTAATCTAATTATTATATACAAAATATACATGATTCAGATAACACAAAAGTTCAGTACCTGCCGCAACATATGTTAAATATAACAGGCTACATCTTTCATCGTGATCTTTAAAGTTATTTATGAAGTTAAAGGTTACATTTTGTTTGAGAGCCTATTTGAATATAATTAGATATGTCTTAATATAATATTAATATAATTGTAAAACTATTCTGACTGACAGAGAGAAGAGCATGATACCTCTGTTTTGCAGGATCTTGTAGAGTTGCTCCTTCAAGAATGAAGGAAGGAATTCCCTCTTATAAGACTAGTGAGATTAGTCATCATTTCTACGTATCCACAACTATACAATCACTGCGGCTACAGTGATAATAAAACATGTCCAGCCAGATTTAGTCATCACTGTCAAAAAAAAAAACTTTCCTTGCTGGTTTTTGTTTCAATCCAAATTCGGGTGAAATATGGACAAACCCAAATGTTTGGTTAAAACCGCAATTAAAAAATGTACAGTTGAAAGTGAAAGTTGAAGTTGGGTTCAAATTTGAAATTACATTTTTAACCAAAATTTGGGTTTGTCCACACTGTAAAAAATATATTTTCACGATTTGTAATCACAACAATTTTTTCTTTTGTCAAATCAACTTAAAAAAAATTATGTAGTTCAGATAACATAATATTTTGATTTTCTGATGCTTAAATCAATTTTTCCAGTTCAATGCACTTAAAATTTTAAGGCAACCAGGTTACTTCATTTTTTAAGTTAAACCAACAATATTTTTTCCAGTGCATATTTTACCCAAATTTGGGTTCAAACAACCCAGCATTGTTAAAAAGAAGAATTGGCGTGTCTAAGCTAATTCAAACATAAGTGAATCACACCTTATTTGACAAATTGTTTAAAAAAGAAAAACAGTCATGAGGCATTCAAAAATATATATTTGAAACATTGCGAAATATAAAAAAAAATATTGCTTTTAAACATTGTGTGACGATCAGCAGCCGTGGTGCCCTCGAGAGCCACTAGAGGGCACTCTCTCCCCATGTTATGTTTCCCCAAAGACTCTTTGTGTTTCATTATGTTCAGCTGTGTTTCATTATTGGTTATTGAGTTCCTTATTTAAGCCTGAGTTTCCCCTGTGTCCCTTGCGAAGTCTTGTTACCCTGTAAGCGTGCAATTCCGAGCGTTATTCCCTGTTCTGTGTCTCGTGTTTCCCTGGACTCTTGACCCTTGCCGGTTTCCTGGACTGCTCTCGAACCTGTGCTGCCTGCCTCGACCATTGCCTGTTTAGACCACGAGTTTCTGGATTGCCCCTTTGTTTAAGTGTTTGCCAGTGTTCATGTCTGCTTGTTTTAATAATGTGCTGCACATGGATCCGACCGTCTCTGTCCGTACGTTACAGAAGACTTCGCCAAACGAGGATCCAGCAGACTTTCAGCATCTATCCGCCGTGGTCAAGACCCGAGCTTCTATGCTAGCCTCACTAGTTTTCAGCTGGCGAGACTAACTTCTCTCCTCGAGGATCTAGCTAGCTCCGTGCAGTCTCCGCAGAGCTCAAGCACAGCGGCTAATCAAGCCCAAACCCCCGTTGCACCTGTTCCACCGCAACCCAGTGTGAGTATCGTATGCAGCAGTGGCGTAGCCACGAGGGGGCCTGGGTGGGCCTAGGCCCCCTCATTTACATGTCCGGTCCCCTCAGATTTCTGATTGCTTAAAAAAAAAAAAAAAAAAGTTGTTTTATTAGGATTGATAGATTGACCAATCAAAATGCTGCGCGGTAAAATGCAGCTTATTTTCAAACTTGATTTGTTTATATAACGTGTTGCGCGTAACTTACGCTGTTATCTTCATCTTTGCGTGAGAGTTAATATGCCGTGACAATGGCAGGCGCTCAAACTCAAAGTATATTACACTTTTTTAAAAAAGCACGGAAAGATCAACTTGATATACAGTATATATAAATAATGTTGCCCCCTCATTTAAAGACGGGACCCCCCAAAAATAAAATTCTGGCTACGCCCCTGGTATGCAGTAGTTCCAGTACGCCGTTTCCCGAGAAGTTTAATGGCTCACCTGAAGCGTGTGAAGGATTTCTGCAGCAGGTACATGAGTCATCAGCCCCAGTTTTACGCCTCGGATATCGACCGCATTTCTTTCATCTGCTCACTGTTGACTGGAAAGACTCTGGAGTGGGCAGGCGCGTTTGGGAACCAGGTCGGATCCATGTGCAGCACTTTATTAAAACAAGCAGACATGAACACTGGCAAACACTTAAACAAAGGGGCAATCCAGAAAATCGTGGTCTAAACAGGCAATGGTCGAGGCAGGCAGCACAGGTTCGAGAGCAGTCCAGGAACCAGGCAGGTCAAGAGTCCAGGGAAACACAGAACAGGGAATACCGCTCGGAATTGCACGCTTGTAACAAGACTTCGCAAGGGACACAGGGAAAACTCA